GCACAGCATTATGTATTATCAGATCGCGTATTTTTCAATAAAAATCATATTTTTCGTCGGCAGTTACATATACAGAGACAAATGCTAACCAGCAATTCCTTTCATAAAAGGTTTTATTTTCACCACATTTTAGAACTTTCCTTTACAAAAGTGTAGTGTAAACGCACCTAATATCGCCTACCCGAAATTCAAATCGTTCTCAATTATAGGAAATTAATAATTTTGTGAATTATAAACAATGAAATTGTTTGTGTTTCGTGTACGGCAGATTAGAATTGTTAAACCTACAGATATTCAATCATGATTGGCAAAAGACATGGCAACCAGAAATCAAGATCGTGAAAAAGTGCACATGATCTATCGCCTACCTGAGAACATATTAATTAATTCATTATGGTTCAAAACTATTCTTACTATAAAATTAAAGAAATACAATTTGTAAATATTTATGTCATTACATATTATTTTTTCTAGCAAATACTACACTGAAAGGTAGGCGATATCGAATGCATATGCCGACTCAGACGCAGAAAAAACTGTTTCCGTTAACAAAAATATGGAAACCGATTAAATTGCTGAAGCATGTCATTAATTAGATACTGTCACTGAATATTCACGCATTCGTAGAATTTTGAAACTTGTCTTCTCTCAGGTCACGATTCAGGAAATTTTTACACTTTCAAGATTCACTGAAATACTTCTCCTTTGCTACACTGTTACTCACATAGCATTGCAACCATAGTATGTCTACACATGCTTGACCGCTAGTTTAGTTAATTACCAACAGATTTTAGCACTTTTTTGTAAAATATTACGAGTGGTGATAATAGGTGCAGTTACCCTATACCAATCAGATGAACAGTCATTTCATGCGCAAAACCCTGATAAATTAATGGAAAACTATACTTTTAATCTGTTCCGTTTATTGTAATCTCGATTCAGCGTTGTAATTAAGGCAAGGAACACGTAACAGTACCTCTCAGTCGTATGGTCAGTGAACCGCGAATCGCCGATCGCGTTCATGAGTTCGAGAAACACGATCGCAAAGTTTGATTTTCGTTTCTCGTTCGTTTCAAATGCCATAGGCATGCATTCGAAAGTACCTTTTTGATACAGAGATATTTAATATATTATGTTTTATTGTACTCTATGTTCTATTATGTTATTATCAGGCGTACCAATGAGTAATCCACTGTTTCTACCAAATGGAATTCTGATTACCAAAGAAATTCATAACAATTGTCAAGCACAATGGCAACCATATGCATTTACTAGGACTACTTACAAGCAATTCACAACTTCCTGAAGAATTTTGTGCTTGTATCACAATACTCGTACCCTGGCAACCATTTATCTACGCCATTTTGCCTAATAGCATATCAAACAAGTATTCTACATTTATTCTGTATCATAATCTTATCGAAACCACGATAGACTACTTTGGTACACCTAATATGTATTAAGTTAAGTCACAAGTAACTTCTGCTTTCCTAGTTTTTTTTTCAAATTAATGTCCGATTTATCACATTTTACACTAGTACAAATCAATGGAAACATTTCTCATTATCTCTAAACTGAATTATTGATGTTCAGTTGAACTTGAGTTATTTAAGTCATGTTTTCGTATCTATGATGGAAGTTATTTCTAACTCGACAAAATATTTATACTCCCAAGGAAACGATGAATTACTAATTTGTACGTCTAATGTTTTTTTTTATTTTAATATGTTTTTATTTTTAATACTCTCCTAAGATAACATTATTTCGAATATCGTACACTGTTAATTCTAAGTCCGTAAATGGTTCTCGTTTGAGAATCCCGTGTACCTCTTAAATGCGATCGCCATGTAAAGAGTAATATGCAAATGTTTTATTTACGTTACACGATTTATTGCGAAATTTCATTACGGTCCCTGTCTGTGTCGAACTTAGCCTCGAATAATCGCTTTTAATCGCCGCAGGAACTAAAGCTCATGGATTCGAAACTCCGTTAATGAGATCGCTACAGAGATGTACAGGTTATTAGACTCAAGTTACAAGAATACATAAGAAATAAGTTCATTTTCCGTACATGACGTTTTATTTACAGTATTTTTACATGAATTTCAGTAACTAATGCGTATTTGCCATACTATTAATCAGCAAAATATATTTCTTTTTTTGTTTGCATCGAAGCTTAAATGTTATCGAAGTACAATGAAGATTGTACAAAACTGTAGTCAATTCACTGAAACAACAGAAAAATACTTAAGATAACAGTTGACGGTTATTTGTGAAAAAGACAGTTGTTTTATAAGTTAAGAAAAAGAAGGAGTAAAATATATCTTCCAAGTTTCCTTGTTCTTCCGCGTTTTTAATCTGTAATTTTCTTCTTTCGGAAGATTTCCTTTCCGAACGTTTTTCCTTCTGCATTCTTGATCTGTAACTCAAAAACGTCTCCAAATTATAAATGTATATATGACAATAATTTCTTGTTACTGAAATTTTTATATATCTCCGTGAAAAGACTACATCGAATCTAATAATTTGCATACCTCTGTAGTCTGTGAAACTGTGCGAAAATCATTTCGAAAGTCCTTCGAAGTAAACTTCAAATTTTTTCAGTTTTTCTCGAACAAACGTAATGTTTAATATTCAAGATCATCCGACGATCAAGGTACAATCGACGAAATATTCGACCATACGAAAATATTCTAAATGGTCCAGTTAAATGGAACACTTTTCAGAACGTGCTGTTTTTAACAAACTTTAAGTAAATATTGAAAACTACGAATTCACGAAATTTAAAGAAACAAAAGAACATAATTTCAGAATATCCCAGACCCCAGAATCCAGAATCACTGTGGATGATCGATATCCAAACTGATCCATGAGTTTTGGTCCAAAAATCGAATGGATGCGTGGATGTGTCATCGTTCGAAGAATTATACAGAATTGTAAATCTCCGCGAAACTCATAGCCATTGTATACTCTGTCTATATGTATGTGTACGCGAGATGGAAAACGCATAGATCTGCGGGAAACGAGAATACCTGCGAAGCCGACCAATAAGATGAACGACGTTTTAGGGGGAAAGGGAAATCGCGAAACGATAAAGGAAACGAAAGATGTTCAAGTTTCTAGTTAGAAATTCAAAATTTACCGACGTGTCTAGGAAGAATGGATCTGGTCTTTTGTAAACGACGAACCCGTGAATATTGTATATTTTGAGAAATTACTATGCTAGAGGTGTCTGAACGCGTAGATAGAGGACAATATTAATGATCGTGTCATACTCTACTCTAATTGAAAGTAATGAAATATACAAATACATACACAAAGAACAAAACACAACACACACATACACCATTTAATGTGAATTAGTGCATATTTTTAATAAATGGATGATGAAATTAAGATTATTTTTTCTCTTACTCGCCGTACGTATGTATATATGTATATGTTTATACATTGTATTACGAGAACTATTGTAACGTGATGTTTCCATTTTCTTCTTCGAGACGAATCCGTTGTTTTTAATACTAAAAGTGCGAATGAACAGTTACTCCGTATGTGGTAATTGTCATGGAATATCGCAGTGTGAAAATAAACACGGTTTTCAGTTAAGAAACACGTATTCGACAGTGTTATCACGCTTAGTATTTTATAAGACGAAAAGAAATAAATCTTTATGGAAGAAAGGCTGATTGTCAGGATTAACAGTCATTAGGTCTTAATCTGTATTCTTTCAGCCTTAAGTCGCGAGCTTGATGACGAGAAAACTCCTACTCGACGATCAAAAAATCAATTCTTTTCACGATCTTTTCATCCGGATGAAGGAACCCATAGAGATCAATCGTGATTTTCAATGTATATTGGATATCTAAAAAATTATCAGAATATCCTATCATTAATTTTAATTAATCGTTACCGGCGTTTATTCTGTATCTCCTAAGCTTTCATTTAAGAACTTATACAACAAAAGGCTCCACCGGAAATGGTAAAAAATAAACACATGTAACAAAATTGCAAAACGGTAACAATCTCCTTGACAGTGTAATATAATTACATTTTACGTTTACAAGATATACGAGACGGTTTCGTACCTCGGTTTGACCACTAAATGGAATTCACATGTTTGTGGAATACATAACACTTTTACTAAAATCTAAAAGATGTTTATTACTCATCACGTGTTCATTTCGCCAATTTTTGGCGGGCACATATGTAGTTCGTCTGTTCTTCGCTAGATGACGTCACTAGAGCGCCCTCGATATGACGTAATACCTAACCTTTATGCAACAACAATATTTCGTTTGCTCCTCGTTAATAAGTTGTGATTGAGATATCTGACTACTGATTATTATAAAACAAATCAGGAGCTATTTTTTGATGCCATAATATTTGTATAAAAAGGCCATTTACTACCTAAATTGTAAACAAGTTTTTGCTTCTTCTTTTGCGAATATCTCAGTAACTATAAACGGTGCTGTGAGAGTAATTTCAGATTCGGGAGGAGCAAATTGGGAGCAATTTTTTGAGATATAAATCGTTAAGATACGTTAACATTCGGCGCCAACTATTTTCCGATAAATGATTTCTGCCACTAATTTGCACTACAATAGTTGATTTTCAAGTTTTCTGCATTTTTGAGATCATTCTTTAAACTCGTTAATAAAATAGTTTAGAGGTCTGGCTATCCTAATTGCCATTTGGGATACGAGAAATGTTGTAAAATTTATTTTGTACAATTAAATTATTAATACAAATCGACTGCACGAAGAAAATGAAAATATCCGGCATCATACCTCAGAGATTAAATCGACGTGCAAACGGGTATGTTAACATATGAAACGTGCTATTTTTTGTAAAGTACGTCGAAATATTTTTTACCTTTGAAAATGGTTTAAAGGGTTAAGATTGGTTTACATTCACAGTAAACATTATTTTCATGGAAATGTAACTTAAGGTTTTCCATGCGAGGTGTGAGGTGTGACAGAAAGAAAATGGTAGGACGAGTGACAAGCATGGTACTGTCAAGTGAAAGATTGTTGTATTGCTTTATCAGTTGAGCACTGCGAAACAATCACTTCAATAGTTTCTTTAAAATACATTCTCGATATACTAAATATCGTAACGTTTAAACTTGTTACAAACTAACCATGTTAAACGACGTACCAAAAAGAATACTGAAAAGCTCGGAATCAACGGAGGTACGATTACAATAACAATTTTATAATTTTACGAATCAATAAATTTTACTATAAAAACACTGAAACAAAAGACATTCTTCTCTGTTTATGTGGAATTACTTAAATGTTGTATACTACTACATGTCAGTGATCGAACATGTGACTACCGCTTAATCTCCGTATACAAAGTGTCGCTAAAATGATTGTACAATTCAACGATATATAAATAACGTATACGCGATAAACTTTTGTCGCCGACAAAATATTTTAAACTACGTTTCTGACCTATTTTTATGTACAGTCAATTCTTATTAGGTTGTGTCATTACTTCGGTAACACCTTATATTATCCTGCATTCCAAGATTTATCGTTTCTATTTTCCACCCTATGTTTCTTCTGTTATTATTTTAATTTATGCTTAAATCTTTTACGTATTTGTTTATGCTATGTCATTTCACCATTGCTTTTAAACATACGTATCGTTCTGTTTATTAACATTTCTTATACATATAGCGGAAGAAAAAAAAAAGAAATAAAATTGTTACTTAAAATCCTAGAAGCCATCTGTTACAGATTTCTTGTATTAAAAGGCATGTATTAAACAACGAGCGGGAAATTCAAAAGAGTGTTGTAAAATATTTTCAGGCTGATGTTCGTGAAGATGAGGAACAAGCGAAAAAATTTCAAGATATAATTGATTTGCTTTTGGCGGCAGGATATTTCCGAGCTAGAATAAAAGGTTTATCAAATTTCGATAAGGTACATAAAGAAAAAACTGAAAAAAATCGTATAATATATTTTAAAATGTTGCATTGAAGTAAAAAAATACAGAACTAAATTAATTTTTAGGTAATTGGTGGGATGACTTGGTGTATAGAATCCTGTAATTTTGATATAGATATTGATTTACTATTTCGTGAAAATTTAACTATAGGTCAAAAAATGTAAGTATGGGTCTGAAATTATTTAAAAGTATTTAATACTTGATTCGAAATAATGTTCTGTACATATTTTTAGTTCCTTAACTGAAAAAATTGTAGCTATGCTACCCAAGATGAATTGTCCATATAGAATAGAACCACATCAAATTCAAGGTTTAGATTGCATTCATATCTTTCCTGTCATTCAGGTATTTATTGTATCTTGAGATATGATTTTATGTTTTACAATCATTCTAATGATGATCCAAATTTTAGTGGTTAGTCAAACGTTCCATGGAAACCAGAGATCAAATGGCTGATTTTGTTCGATCATTTGCGCTTAATCAGTTTCATAAAAAACATTCGTTTATTGAAGATGCTGGTACTACATCAGCTGTTAAAGAAAGTCTAACACGAAACATTCAGCTAGTTAAAGTAAGAAGACCTATATGTAAAGTAGGGTGCCCCACCAAAAGATACTTGAAAAATTATTTTAGACAACATTTTTCTTCTGAAAATGATAATATTTCAATTTTTGGCGAGGCATCTTGTAAATTGACAAAAGACGACTCTTTTGGATAAACTTGAAAACTGTAATAAGTAAAGTCACAATTATTTCTTAGAAATCGTATGAACCACGACGTCTTTTCAAACACAAAGACGGTTCTATCAGAGATGAATCTACCAGGTTCCTTGGCACAGTTCTAGAATATGAAGCGCCTTTATATTATTCTACAAAAACATCGCCAACGACTGCCGTATCAGACGATATCAAGGATACTGATAGGGAGAATGAATTAAAGGAAAAAGTAAGCAAGTCCTTTTATAAAAGATTTTTTATATATATTTACAATACATTAATTATAAAATATGTATAATACAATTTTCATGCGTGGTAAATACAGGATACCTCACATAAGGTGAGTTGTCTCAACATTGTTTTTCCAGCTTTTTTGTTCACATTGGAATGATCGAAACACAGACATTCATTAATGTTTTTCTGTATGAATGAGTAAATGCAAAACGGCAATGATATTATAATGTCCTTTGAATTATTTTTATAGGAAAACACAGAACAATTAGCTGGAAATCTAGCCGCTATTGAGGAAAGTTCGGTAAGCAATTATATTTACACATTCTCACGTTAATTAAATATGTATTAGTCATGTGTTTGTAGGCTCGTTTAAGTGTCACAGCGGTGGGCAACATCGTTGGAATTCAGGCTCAAGAAATTGCTAAAGTTGCTGAAAAATATGCAACGATGTCAACGTCCGGAACGGAGGTAAATTTCTCCTTCATAAATCAGCTATCAGGTGAAATTTATAATTTCGTACTCATTTGTGATATTGTTCATATTATTATCTATTTATTTTATTTTTATATCATTTTTTTCATTATAGATCATGTTGACTTTTAGATGACCTTATAAGTCTCATCAAAATAATCTACACGCGTTAAGCTTCTATGTGATGTACTTCCGAACTTTAAACGTTCAGTAGTTATTTTTTTCGACACAATGTACTTTGCAAAATACACGTATTTGTATATTAAAATCAAACACCTCGTACATAATAATGGTAATTATATCACTGTTTAAAAGTTTCTTTTCGTTCTTTTAAAAATACGTACATAACTATGCACTGACTTAATATATTGACAATCGTTACACAAGTTGTAGTTATTTCTGAATATAGAATCTATAGAGACAATGGATTTATAAACGATTTGAATGTTAGATTTCGTTGATGCTATCAGACTTATTTTCATCAGTCCAATTATTTAACTTTCTTCGTTTATAGAATTACAAATTGCAACTGTAATTTTTATGATACTTATAATCACAGGACCATAGTGCTACGAGTTCTTCAGCAGCGTTCATCGCATTACAGAAACAAAAAGCAGTACTTCAAAATCGAGTACGAAAATTGACCAAAGATAGAGATAGTTTATCTACTAAAGTAACGGAATTAATTGATAAGTCAAACGAGTCTCGTTCGAAGCGGCAGACTATCGAGCGTTCGTTAAAAAAGGCAGAAGAAATGGGAATTAATGAACATGATAGGTAATTCCTTTATTATAAATAGGAAGTTAATTCTTTCATAAACAAATGTGGTGATTACTTATGAAAATATTACATCAAAATTAACTTAAAAAAAACACTAACTTCAAAATTAGCTGTTTCAATAAGCAAAATGTTTTATCTTTCATGGATAATCGAATATGCTACAACAGTACCATACCTTAATTTCTGTATTTTCTTAAAAACATTTTTTTCCTCGAAATATTGCAGCATTTGTATTCTTGCTATACTTTTGATAGTATTTTTATGTTCGAAAGAAAAGACGTAATCAATGAAGAAGCATTGAGAATAATCACTCTGCAATCGTATACAGCAAGTTAATTTTGGTCCCACTATACTGAAATACACGAAAATGAAATATTCAAGCGTGATTGTCTGGAAAACAAATTGATTATACGATCTTCAATAACTATCCTAACTGCTACAACAACTATATCTTTGTTCTTTTGTAAACTTTTTAGTGTGTATAAACGTTTGGAAGAACTACTCTTAGTACACGATGGTTTGAAGGAACAAGAACACAATTTTCGTGAGCAATGTAAATCAGATTTGAATCTTTTACGTGGTAAATTGCAAGAAATTGAAAGCGGTACGTCTGAAGAGGAGGAAGATCGTTTGAAAGAGTATGAGGAACAAAAGGAAGCAGTTACAAAAGTAAGATTACAGTTGGCCAAAAAGAACAGAGCGATCGCGTCTTTGACTAGACAGTTGGATGATGTTCCTGGTCGCTCTGAACTTACACAATATCAAAGACGGTTTATGGAACTTTACAATCAAGGTTTGCCAATCTATTCTTACTCATCAATATTTCTTAATCCATTGTGTTAATCAGATGTTATTTTTATCGTCAAAATTACAGTTTCAGCCAAACACAAAGAAACGAAACAGTATTACACATTGTATAATACGCTTGACGATACAAAACTTTATTTAAGTAAAGAATTATCATTATTAAATTCCATCCAGGATAATTATAATGAGTGAGTAGTTCGCAAATGCTGCATTTACATTTCTTCTTCGTTTAAAAGCTATATTTCATATCTCTTTTGTTTACGTTCATCAGAGCAATGGCATCAGCGAGTGGTAAGGAACAATTTCTGAAGCAATTTGAAGCGATAGTTGCAGGTGTAAAACGCAACAAAGCTAAGGTAATAAATTTTACTTGGTAAAGAAAAAAAAGCAAGAATGATTATTAAAAGTGAAATACGTTTTAATAAAACTGAACTACTTAATTAAATTTTATAATAAACGCTATCGGAAGTGAAAGCTACATGAAATTCAATGCATTCTGATGTGTTAATTAATTCTCAGAATTACGACGAAGCAGCTAAGTTATTTTTATGTAGTTTGATCCGTGGATCATATTTTCCAGGTGGAAAAAAGATGTGCTGATGAGAAAAACAGAAGGGATGCTCTTAGCCGTCAACTTGCCACTTTGATAGAACAACAACGCAAATACGTTGCTGCGGTCAGGCAACTTACTATTGAATGTCGTAAAAATGAGGCTTTGCTTGCACAGCTGCGTGGTCCGTAAATAATAGTCTTCGTTCTACTACCTCCAAACGTATCAAATACTCCTATTTTTACTGCAATATCTTATTCCATTAAAACACTTTGATATATATAAAAATTTAACCGACAAATGTTAAAAAGTGTTGTTATTGTCGAATATTACGTTATATATGTTGTATAATATTCATATATTATAGATGGTGTCTCCTTTAAACAATTATAAATTGTTTTCTATAAAACTATTAATATATAAGTGTATGGCATAACCATACACATATGTCTTTGAAACTATTCACATATCAAAAACCGTTTCAGACAGAAATTGAATGGTGTTTGGGGATTTAATCTAAACTCAATAGTCTTTTTGTGGGTGAGGAATAACAAAAGCATTTACTTTAGAAGACATTTTAATTTTAATGTGACAAAAACCAATACTCCAGTATTTCTTTACAATGAATGGTAAAGAAAGAATGAAATGAACTGCATTGACTAATACATTAAAAAATATATGGTTTGTAAAAGAAAACCATGTTATAATTGATATTTCGACCACACCTCTATCTAGAAAGAACTATTGATATCAGATTGTATCTTCAATAAAGCTGTTCAACTTGTGTCTAAAACACTTTTGCATTGTAATACTAATAGTTTCAAAGGTATGTATGACAACTGATTTATATTTTACATCCAGCAATACATGCCAAATATTCCTACTTTTCAGATTCGTACGCGCGAGGATAATTTGGAGTTACAGAATTAAAGAATAAAATTTAAAAATAATATTGCTCCTTTTTCCACCGTTAAAATATAAATTTTATAGAAAAACTTTGCTGAAAATCGATAATTTGTGGTTTCCCATCCCTCACATTTTCTTGCATTTATGAATGTCCCGCATACACATACAGTTTTGATGTTTAAAACAGATGAAAGAAATTACTCGAGTTCGAAGTCCAAAGGATGCCAAAAAATTGTTACACGTAACAATTGCAACCGTACGATTTAAAATAGTCAACACCGAAGTCACATGACGGTTTTGTTCGGTGTAGAGTATAGATAGATGATATGTGCAATATACATATATATATATATACATGTTATACATATATACGTATGTATGTATGTATATACCCATATGTACAGCATCTCGGGATTGCAATTTTAGCCCGATAATAGATTACTACTTACCACTTACCGTTTGTCTGTTTTCCATTTCACGTTCAGTAAGTCAGTGTTTTTCCTCGTCGCTCCGTCAGAGCCCTCTTCGTTCGTTACTTTATATGAGCTATCGCCATTGTTCTTTTCGCAGTGTTTAATGTGTTCATGTGTTTTATCCGTCTTCCCGAGGATCTATCGTAGCCATTATCGGTGGTACGATGATCAGTGATCTGTTTTGCTAACGTTCTTTAGAATGTAGCGGGCATCCAACGTTACGTTCTCTAAAGATACGTAATATGACAATCGCATCGAGTGGAAGAACCATCCAATCGAGCTTGTTCCTTTCAAACTAGGGGAACATGTGCTATCTATACAGTGGATTTTAATGTGATATTCATATGAGAGAAATATTGAGTGTAAGATGGCAAAAGACGAAGGAGACGACCTCTTGCCGGACAAGGACGCGGCGAAAGGATTTTACGCGAAATACGAACCCAAAGAAATCCTTGGAAGGTTCGTCACGTGATATTTGAAAAAAGAAAATAACAACATAGCGTACTATTTTTATTTGTTCAGCCAGCACGCGTAGCATGATAGATATGTTTGTATTTATATTATTAGACCCTGATGCATTGCGATTACAATGAACGAACTGAGAAATTCAGCGCCTCAAATTGAACAAACTAACCTGTACAATTACATAATTCTACGAAGTTAAATACATAAGATTCAACGATGACAAGTTTTTTAGAGATGAATAAAACAATGGAGATTGTTGGAAGTAATAATTTTACTCATAAGCAGAGTACAACACTAACCAGACATGCGAGAAGTTCGCTCGTATTATGAATTATTAATACTCTCAGCATTATCAGAAATTAACATAAATAAACACGAAATAAGGCTATAGTACGCATATATTTTGTTGGTTTTTAAGAATTTTCTTATAAAAGATTTCATACACGCAACAAATCACATTGAAATATTTACTTACTATGTCTATAATCAATGTCATGTCTAATAAAGTGTATATTCTAATAGAAATCTATATTATTTTATGTATATACTGATCTTCTGTTGCGATCATAATGCTAAAAAAATAAGAATTAGCTTTTTGTTGAAGAATTTTCAGTTTTATGATGATTTAAACTTAAATTACTGTTTACAGAGGAATATCTTCCACTGTTAGAAGATGTATAGAAAAAGAAACAGGTGTAGAATATGCAGCTAAAATAATAGATATTAGTATTGAAAGTAATGAGGATGGAAATACAATGAAAGATGCTACATTACAGGAAGTGCATATTCTTCGTAGAGTAGCTGGTCATCCTTATATAAGTAAGTTCCTACTTATAAGAAACAAAAACTGAATATATAATGCATTATTATGAGAAGAAATGTATATATATGTAAATACAGATATATAAGTTTCAATTGGTAGTATCTCTTCTTATATGGTTTCAGTTGAATTGCATGATGTGTTTGAATCAAACACATTCATTTTTTTAATTTTTGAAATTTGTAAAAATGGGGAATTGTTTGACTACCTCACCTCTGTTGTTACACTCTCTGAAAAAAAGACACGTTATATTATGAGACAAGTGTTTGAAGGAGTGCAACATATACATAATCAAGGAATAGTACACAGAGATTTGAAGCCAGAGAATATATTACTAGATGATAATCTAAATGTAAAAATAACTGACTTTGGGTTTGCTAGATTATTGACAGGAGGAGATAAATTATACGGTTTGTAATTATTTTACAAATTATAATTACATAATGTATTTGTGTGGTAATTAAAAATGACTATTTTTTGTCATTACCATTATTTCGCAGATCTTTGTGGTACTCCTGGATATTTGGCACCAGAGGTATTAAAATGCAATATGTTTGAAAATGCAGATGGCTATGGATATGAAGTAGATGTGTAAGTTGATGTATTTTAGTATATGTATGTTATTTTTAAATTTGCATAATATTTTGTACATTAATTCAAATTTTATAATATTATACAAATAATATTTTAACTAATATATAATATTTCAATTAATTATCTGGTCAAACAATTACTATTTGTTTCTTCTTAGATGGGCTTGTGGAGTAATTATGTTTACTTTGTTAGTTGGTTGCCCACCTTTCTGGCATAGAAAACAAATGGTTATGCTTAGAAATATTATGGAAGGGAAATACTCATTTACATCCCCAGAATGGGCAGATATAACAGGTAATTTGTGTTTAATAAACTAAATAAAAAAATTTGAAAAGGAGATAAATATAGAGAGCATGCAATAGATATTTGTATAAATTTAATTAACAGATTGCATGTATAAGTATGCATCATTTTCAGAGAACTTCATCCTTAACTTTACACAACGTTTTTTAAGAGATAGATATTGTCGCGAAAAAGGGTACCAATTTATAAAAATAGAGTTGCATTATGATTTGTGTATTGATACACTATAGCAGTTTTTGTCTATTCAGAAATCAAATTTGTGTAAAATTTTCGAACTCGTACAAGACGGATACCTAAAATTTTAGGTGGAAGCTTTTGTACTTGATTATTAATGATATACAAGCATGAAGTAAAATCCATGGTAAAGTCAGAAAAGTATAATCATTTTAAATAATCAAAGGTGTATTACCTTGAACTGAGCTGCTTCATTTATGGAATGATATTTAAGGTAAGACTTGCTACTAACAATTCTTTGAACATGATGCACATTTCTGTTTCAAATAATTAAAATATACTTGTCCATGCGTTTTTACGTATTAATAACATTTCGTTTTCTGATACCATTTAAATTTGTTGTTAAATTCTTATAATTTCTAGATTTTAATCATATTTTCAGAAGCTCCTAAAGATCTGATAAGAAAGTTACTAGTGGTTGATCCTAAAAAGAGGTTTTCTATCAAGGACGCATTGGAACATTCTTTCTTTCATACAGTAGTAAGCATTTTAATACTGTATATTTATATTAGTAGGAAAGAAAAATAGAGATTGATTTAAATCTTCATCATTTTATGCAGTCTGGGTACAGCTATTAGTGCAATTATAATTGTACACATTTATTTCTTTGTTTCATACGTTTTCCATTACATATCTGCTTCAAAAACATATCAGACATTAGTTTACATATTTTTTTTTTCATGATGATTTTTTTTTATCATTGATTTGATAACGCATTTCTGTAATAAGACAAGATGTCACAATATAAATGTAAAATAGATTACTGAAATTGCAGCTATGGGATCAAGACATCGCACCTCTAAAACGTTCACTATCATCTAATTCTCGACGTCTGAGTAGGATATCTCAGTTAGCGTTGGTAAATTATTTTTGTTTTTATTTTGTTTGCCGTTAAATGTGGGTTCTCTGAACATACCTTGTATATGGTTTAAATAACAATTAACATATCAGGTTTAATTAATATTTCAAAAAGTCAGATAAAACTGAATATAATGTGGATCTTTATTTTGTTTTCGTTTTTGTTTTATAATTTGGACAAGTGCTATGTATTATCATTCTTTCTTCTCCAAAAGTGGAGACGGAGTACCTGAACCTATTAATATTGGTTACAATTATGTGTCACTGATATATTACAAACAGCAATTTAAAAAAACGTATTTATTTAACCATTTCTTCAGCATGGGTATATAAATGAGTATAAAGATTAATTAACAGTAATACAAAAACATTAACTATTATTTGCATGACAAATTAAAAACTTACAAGAGTACAGTATTTGAAGCCTTATACACACACACCAACTTTCCTCTCATTGTCTACTCTATTGTTTGTGTCAATGTTATAACAAGATTTATTGCAGTTTATAAATAAAGAACACTATATAGTTCTAGACTTGAATGCCTTGAAAGTATTTCATATACGGAAAATTGTTTCTTCAATATATTACATAGTCTTACTGTTGTAACTTTCTTTGGTAACAGTCCTTCGTTATTCTGTTGTACCATATGTTATATTTAATAATTACTAACATTTTTGTTACAGGAAATGATTTAAAAATAATATATAATTTTATGTCACATTTAGTATTTTCTTATTTCTTATCTTCTTTTAAATATTTGTACAGGAATTAAAGGCAAAGTCATTTAACGCAAGGAAAAGATTCCAATTGGCTATTATTTGTGTTCGTGCAGTTGTTCGTATCAAGCGACTTCACACAACACCCGAACCTCTTTCAACACAAGTGGCATGCACTGATCCTTACAGAATCAAAATTTTACGAAAGGTATGAGCTTGAAAATTTATTAAAAATACTAGGTATAAAATGGAATTTATAAATGTGTTTAAATATTAATCCAGATTTATAACATAGCAAATATTTCAACTTCGTAAAAATTTACATATTCAGTATATTTGACTAATGTGTTCCGTCACTTAATCTAATATTTTATAAATTCTTGTAGGTCATTGATGGTTGTGCATTCAGAGTTTATGGTCATTGGGTGAAGAAAGGTGAAGGACAAAATCGAGCTGCATTATTTGAAAACACACCAAAGACGGAATTGAAACATCTTTATGTTACTAATTTGAGCAGATAACCAATGCTCTAATGCATGCTTTTAAAGCATTATTTAGCGAAAATTGTTAATTCTAATGTTAGTCGACATTTACAGTATCTAAACGAAATATTCAGTAAGACAAAAAAATGAAAAAATAAATAAGTTATTTAAAAGGGTGGTATATTCATAATGCTTTCTCTTGGTTCTATCTATGAAAGAAATAATTCTTTAAATGTGTATGGTAACTATAAAGTGTTCGTAAACAATGTCCATCAAATTGCGATATCATAAGGAAAACTTTAAAATATATTTGTTGCCTTTAGATATTTCAAAATATGAAATATTAATTGGATGGTTCTGTTTCCAAATTCTTATGCAGAAATATTTGAATATTTGTTTTCGCAAGAGCCCTACAGATGGCAAAACGGTTTCTACCTAAATACAGTGCTGCTCAATATGTTTAATTTATATAGCCTTTAAAAAAGTGTTATAAAATATGACAGTTTCATTAGCGATATGCTACAAGCAATTAGTACCACACCTTTAGAGTGTGTTTTGTGCGTAGGCCAAGTATTATTTTGAAATCTGTTTGTGAAATTACTTTTTGAATGTTTTATTTTAAATTAATGATAATTTCTCCTTTACAGTATTTTTTGTTTTTTCTTTTTCATAGCACAATATAATGTAAAAGAATTTATTGTCAGTGTTACGGATAAGTTTCAGAACTAAGTTCTGCATGTGCTAAAGAAGGAAATAAGACTCTTAAAATTATTGTATTTCGAAGATAAATGAAGGTGCTTATAGGTACATTCATAAAAATCATTATTTTATTCCATGACCATACTTCTTATGTTTGTACAACACTATAAAATATGTTCAGTGATTATGTGTGTAAAAATACATAATAATTTAATACAAATCAGCAACACATAAGAAGTAAAATTTATAATAATACTTTTACTGTAGTATATTCTTGACATTATACTATGTACAAGATTAGCAACAATTATGAGTAAAAATTAAACATAGCAATAATTGTAGTAACAATTTGTAAAAAGCTGTAAATCTTAATATAAAAATGGTCTATCTTGTATAAAAATGATTGAGAATATATTATTTACAGTAAAAGGTATAGAAATGTTTATAAACAAATTTTACATGTAAATTATGTGCGATTCCAATTTGATTCAAATTTGTAATCAAAAAATCGTATTCCATAGTAATATTATTTACTAAGATCTGTATGTAGAATATAGTACATCATATTTTGTGCAAATTCTAGTCATGTTTTGTACTGCTGAATTTGTTTTAGATTATAAATTATAAAGAAAAATTTGTATAACATGTAGTTAATTTTTCTTAAAAAAAAATATGAAACAAATTGTAATAATGTCAGTTTGGCATTAGCACGAGTGAAGTGCTGAAAAGTCACAAAGAATAGTTAAATAAAAATGAATCTGTAAAATCATGTTGATACTTTATGCCTATAGGATATTTTGTGTAAAATGTATATTTTGAAGTAAAATATTTTTTCAAATGCATAACTTATGTTTTCACTCCTTACATTTAAGAAATAATTTCTACTATTTATAGAATAGTTTAATTTTATAATCAGTTACAAAAATAAATATTACATTTTGTTTATGGTGAATTTGAATTTATTTTCAGTGACTATATAAATGTATCTATGATGTACAGATTATGATAATATACTTTCTAAAAAGTGGAACATTAGTACTGTCATTAATCATTATAAAATGGTTGTAAATACTTAATTTTACGATTGTCTCTGTATTCTTAATTTTTTAGACACCATTCACGTTTGACAGTGTATACATTTTTAATTTACCTTAGTTGATGTTTCCGTTTTGTACAGAACTGGTACTACTTAAAACTATTACATTAGACAGAACACAATAATTGGAAAAAATGTTTATCTTACATAAGATATTTTTCTTTAATTGCAATAACATCAATGTCCGACTCGCACCGATTTATGCCTTTTTACAATTTTCGGTAAATATAAGCTATAAAACATATGCGACTTTTTTTTATATACATATATAAAAATGTCTAAATGTTGTATCAACGTTTTTATTGATTATATATATATATTTTCAAATATACCAATGTATGTTACACACTTGTCATCCTGTTAATAAGGATCGTAAGTTCACAGGAGCGCAGATTTCATTAAAATTTAAACACATTGAAAAGAAATTAATAAAATTAGCTTTCGAAAAAATGACGGTACGCAGTTTTGGCGCGCGCGCAAAGGTAAACAATGAACTGTATGTTTCTGTAGGTAGAAGTGGCAACACCGTACAGATCCGATCCATGTGACAGAGAAGGAACGTGACAAAAGGTGGCAGAGGGTGACGCCGCCGAGATCGGAGTGAGTGTTTGCCCGGGCGAGCCGGGTGTCGGGTGTGCTGTGTGCGATTATCGCGATATTCGTCCGTTCTGGCATCTACCGGAAGGTAAGCCTGTTCGTGAACGTTATCGGTCGGTTCCGAAATCTCGGTTGTATATAGTTTTCGCGATGATACCGAGAGAAATTTAAGAAAATCGCGAAAAAAGTGCACTGACCAACAAGCAATATACAGCAGCTCGACACTTCTCTTACACGCCCAGCGGAGTGCTGCGTCACATGGGCTGCGTTCATTGGTCGATACAGCCAGGTGACGTCACGAACCGTCCTTTGATTGGTCTATACCTCGGATCCCAGACACGTGAATCGTGGCCAAGCAAGCATGGCTGTTGATGCGCAGTGGTTAGCACTTGTAAAATGTTTCTGCCACGCGCTAGATCGATCAGGTTATAACCGTCGTATGCCGTGAAACGTCGCGAGATCGTCCGCTGTTCGAAAACTTACGAGTGCCTCGTGAATTCCGCATGTGTCGGATGTTTGACAGCGGAAATACCGCAGAAAGTCTTGCGAAGAAATTGATTTCTACCGTGAAAGTGGGTTCCAGCGTGTTTCCATTGTGACCGAAATACAGTTCCGGTGTTCCTGTAAGTTTCTGACCACTTTCTATGTATTTCTCGCGTTACCACACCCGTTTAAAAGTCTTCGCAGAACATTATCTCGACAGGACTATTGCCTATTTAATTAACATGTGTATAGGTGGTTGCGTGGCGTGTTTTCCGTGCCATAATAGACCCAGCCAATCGCACGGTACTTCAACTTATGACGTCACGTTATCGCAAGCTCCTATTGGTCAACGGTGCGTGCGTCGCCCGTCTAACGTGTGTGCTGCTTTGTCAGTTAAGGAGTTCGTTCGGTGTATGGCATGCTTCTTGACTTTTCATACTCTTCTAAACAGCCTCTCCTTCGCCAAGTCGGCACAGTGATTCGTTTTTCTCTCTTATTTAGTCGTGGTTATACACACTACGAATTCAATTGTACTTGCTCGTTGATTATAGTACGCTTTCGCGATTACGGTGCCCGGATTATATCTGTTTTTCAAATCATCGACGAAATCCCGTTTCTCTGTTTCGCCTTTCCCGCCTCTGTCCCATGAACCTTGTTTCTTCGCTGATTTCTCGGATTGCGCAGCCGATGTTCTATATACCAATATACATGCTTGTATTCGCGAACACGCTCTTGCGCGTACGAACGCCACGTAACGACTCTCGTGTCTGCTTTTGGTGGTACATCACGAGGAACAGTCAAACTAATCTGACTCGCCTAAATGCAGCACTGTTTCAAAAAGATCTAATACGTACGCATGTTGTTCTCATATTTTGCAATAATTACTTTGATTACTCAAATCTTTCGAATTTTTGAAGTATAATAAATACTTAATCACTCCAACCCGGCTAAACTTTAAGTATTTGAATTTTTTTCGGTATTGAATCGTTGCCAGTTCTATAAATTTCGGATTTATTGTTTCTCTTTCATTAGACATTACGTGTATTTAAGACAATTTATTTATAACTGAGTAATGCTAACAAAACTATATCTAGTGTATTTAAAAGTCTTATGTGAGTAGATTGATTTACTCCATTCGTTTTTTTTTTTCGAAAAATTTTCAAAATTTGCAACTCAACGTTCAGATTATAAACAGTACTATACAAACATTGTTCTTTTTTTATCGCATATTTTGTATCAGAATTTATCAATTTTTAACTGAAATTTCGATAAGACAAAAAAACAGTTTTTTGCGAGAATATTCACCATTCGGCTTCGTAACGTAAATATAAATGTATGTGCCCTAAACAGTGTACGGTGTTTTTGCGTTTTATTTTCTTTTCTGACTGTTGAGATTGTTTCCAGCGATCAGAACTCAAGATGCGTGCTAATGTTCTGCGATCTAGGAAAGCGCACGTCGCGCTTGCGCATCACCATCGTGTGGCATTACGAAGACGGTACGTGGGAGGGGATAAAGCTTCCCGCGCGACTGCGTTACGTCACGCGTACGTCACGTGACGTATACTCGGAGACACCGGTCGTGCCTGTACCGTCTGCAGCTCTGTTCAAACGGGCTAATAATATTGTCGAATAACAAAGTTTTTGAACAAGAACAAACTGATCACGTAGTCGGGTTATCGTTGAATAACACGGACGTTCTGTGTCTGTAAATCAAACGAGATGTGACATGTGCGATTTCTCCGCGGTAACTGAATTTACATTGTTTTTATGACGTCCGATTAGTGTGTCGATCGTATTTGGTTAATCGGTTCCCGCTCGTTATCCTCTTACAGCTTTCAGTGTATCAAGTGATTGTGTAGAATGCGAGCGAGAAAAATCGATGCGATTATTGACTTTATTACGACCTTTTTTCTCGTGTTTGCCAAGGTCGACGAATTAAGAACCGACGGATTACTATTTCCCCCACTCGTCTCACGACAATGACATCGTGCTCTCTGTTGTACGTTCAGTGTAACAGGAACGTTCCCTTTTTTTTTTTTGTTGTTCGTGCGCAGATTGCCACCCGCGGCTGGCAGCAGCAGAAAAAGAGGAGGGTTGAGACACGAGAACGGGCTCTCGACTTCTTCGTCCTCGCGAGTCGGCGACGGGAATCGACGGTCCGATCGCAGAGTCTCAATCTCCCCAAGGATCTTAAAGGAGAATAGTCGTGGAGCGACACGGCAACGTCAGGATGAGCCTGGAAACGCTGCTGGAAGCAGCACGGTTCGTGGAGCAGCAGGAGAAGAAGAGGGAGCGCCTCGCCAGCAGCTCTTCCTCCTCCTCCGATCATCCGCTGGCCGTCGCTCCCCACTCCAACCATCACAACTCGAACGAGCCACGTGGTGAGTACCACGCGCCACTTTTCAGTGACCGTTTGCGATATGTATGAACATGTCGAACGGCTTAAATGCACTGGATCGGATTTTCAAAATGTCCCACCAATTTCGCGGATTTAGGACAGTATTGAATTCTCCAAAACGCTTGTTACCTATCATATTTGTTATGACCACACTGGCATTATTTTTGAATATTTCCAATTTCAAAGAATACTTTCTCAGAACTCGGACTAGAGAATCATTTACATTCATTAAAGGATTTATTAAGTTAAGAATAAAGTAAAAGTTCTGCTGAAGTGTTTACTTCAGTATGTTAGACACACACGTGTATGTTTACTATAATTGCACACTCTCTGGAGTGCTGATCGTAACTGAATAGGACGCTCTTTCCAGACAATTTTTTACAGTTACGAATAATCTTTCTTCTTGAGTTTTTTTGGACGATTACGTGCCATCTACTGGAGTTTTTGCTAATTATGATAGGATGATTCATCTTTGTGTTATGCTGCATAAACACGTATCTGTTAATTGTGGCAAAGTGTCCCAATGTTGATCACGTTGTTCTAATTATGAGGCCCAAAAACTTGTCTATAAAAATGGCACCCAAGTTTAAATATATATACTCGTTTCATCTAGCCTACTTTAAAAATCTGCAAAGAATGAAAAAAATTCTATCTTGTGATTGTGAATGTCATTCTGTAATCATTATTTATAATTAAGATTTTGATATGGTATCTGCAATAAAGAAGGTTATTCATTTATCGGGTGATTGCGGTATTTCGGAAGAACACTGGTGTTGGTAAACTTCTCTTCGTGACGAATAGTCCTCATGTGTCCCTCTTTGATCCATATTGATACCGCTTAAATAGAATACAGTCTAATTAATAATTCCACTCATATGCTTATTGCTGTTGCGTATACAATTACAAAGTAGAGCATTTTTAAAATTTACAAAATCAAAAATGTTTTCCTTTAAAACACGATTCGATGCGTTAATTTGTTAAGCTATTTCGTCACGAATACTTATATCAAGTATGCACGACGAATTATCTCATTGTGAGAATTTTAACTCTTTCAAACAAGCAATACGTTTCCTTATTGGTTCACTTAAAAATCGTTGTACCTAGCTACGTCTTTACATCAGACGTCCAATCAAATTTTCATCAAGTGTATTTGCTTTGTACGTGACATATATAGTCGTCACCGCTTATTTCTGCTCGCGCATTCCGTGTGTATGTGTGTGTGTGTGTGTTTTAAAAAAGCAACGACGCGTTTAACAGGTTTAGAGGGTTCTGTCGAGGCGACCGACGTTTCTGTAGGAGAAGAAAAGGATTTTCTTATTTCACACGGAATGAGAAACACTGCAATGTACATACGAACAGCACGCGATGACCCACGCGTTCACCGCCTCCAAATTAGGTATGATTTCCCTCGCGGCAGTGATTCTCAATACGCGCGTGATCTTTTGTGAAACGAATAGCGGAAAGTTCCACAAAAATGGTGTAACAGAAGCGTGGGTAGGTTCCTTTTGCATTCGATTTATTCGATCTGTTCATTCCGACGAGAAATTGCTGTTAATATTTTTATCGTTAAACTACTCGTACCGTGGAGATAATTAAATTACTAACTGGCCAATTACTCTAGGGGGCCCTTTAACCGTGGCAATTTTTTCGATTCCCGCGTTTTCTCAGGTCAATGACTCAGCCAGCCGATCTTGTGAAGCAAGTCGTCGTTGCGCACGCGAAAGAGTACCCGAGCACGAAACCCGGTGACTGCACGCCACTATGCCATCGGTCTCTTACTCCGAACCCACCGTTGACTATACTAGTTAAATGATCCGCACGATAACCTTCTCGAAAAAGAAAAACTCGTGGAACGACCTGACTCCGGTGATTGCGAGCTATACGGTACGATCATTGCCGAGGTGAACCGGTAACGGGGGGGCGCAGCTAGCTCGATTCCGCGACAGGGACCCCTCCGGGAACCTTTCACAATTGTTTTCGTAGCTGAAACCTCCGGAACACGGGAGACACACCGCCTCCTCCTCCCCAGACTGCACGCACTTCATGATAATCGATGTATCTCGGTTTATTCCGCGGCGTGTCGATAAAACGTTGTTTCTCCCGTCGAAAGACGCTACAAACTCGGAAGGTACAATCGTACCAGCGGGGAATTATCAAAGGCGTGAAAGTGTATCGCGATTGACAAGACGGTGAAGTGTTTACGAGTTCGAAAGGAGATAGAAGGTTGAAAAGTCAAGAGAAGGTAAAAGAAGTGGGAATGGGAAAGCAAGAACGATTTAGATGACCATATGCATCCTGCTCCCCCTTCCCTTCCCCTCCCCCCTTCCAGTTCTTTGATGATACAACCTCTAGCAAGCCTTCGGATACGTGTGCGCGTACAGAGGGACCACTGGACATGTATAAAGGCAAAGAGAGCCACCGAAGGGTGGCGGAAGTTAGGTGGGAGTGTGTGTGTGTGTGTGTGTGTGTTGGAGAAGGGTACACGTTAGAGGATATCGCGGGTGGTGGAGAATGAGGGGAAATGAAGTGGCAGGGTGACCGGGTGAGGAGATCGCGATGATTAGAGAGAAAGAGAGAGAGTTAGTGAGGTGGGAGAGGTCGGTACGTATCGCTTTTAGGAGGGGTAACGGTGGTGGTGACCGTGGTGCTACGGTTGACGATGGTAGGAACGAACCTGGATACTGAAAGGTAGTGGGGGGAATCAGTGGGACCCCGGTCACTGACTCTAGAAACTACGGACAGCTTTTGTGCTTCATTCACGAGCGCGCCACCTACTCGCGCACGGGCGTTATGTTTGCCAGCGCGCGTGGTCTTTCCCTTTATCGTCTTGTGTCTCCTACGAGAACCCGTTCTCTCCCCCCCGCCCTTTCAGCGTGCTTTCATCTTTTTCTATCGATTTCGTATCAGTGTGTTCGTGTTCTTTGCAGCTCACGGGGGCGCTCCTTCTGTCATTATCACGCATGCATCTGACTTATCGCCGCGGCGAATCGTCACGATCATCGGCGATTCTTGCCGTGGTGCCTGGTGCTGTACACTGTGCGCACTGGGAAAGGTAGCGGACAGAGTTGTCGACGGAGGGAAGGGCGGCGGGGGGGGGGGATAGGGTGAAGCACACACGTAGCTAACCATACGAGGCGTATTGTACGTCCCCGGAAGGAAGGAAGGCAACAAAAAAAAAATGCACACGATACAGGTCAGATCGATCTTCCCGTTTCGTTGGTCCTGTGTGGCGCGTCGACGTCCCCCCCCCCCGACTGTAAACGTGTGTCAGGTGAGCCGGCAAACGCGTATCGAATATGCATTACATTTTGTATGCCACTTTTCCACGGGAATCGCCGATAGTGTTGGATATTCAGGGGAACACAGGGGAGCGGTGAATTCTGTTTTCCTACGGTGTTGTATGGGTATAACGGGGCCGGCTCTTTGTGCCAGCGTAATTAGGCGCTCGGATACACACGGAGCTGTACGCGAACACGGTTTTTCCGTTTCGTACGGCATCAGGCAGCGAATGGTTAACCGTTTATGATAGTTCCATTGTAAATCGGGGTTCGTGTTCAGCGGAACGCCAGGGGATCGTGTGTAAACGAAGACGTTACAGCGACTTCGTACTGCATTCAGCGATCCTCGTGATGAAACCCGAAATGAAGGTGAATATCATGGAAATAGAGGTACGATACTAGTTGCTGAAAATGAATTTTCCATGATTCACTACGAGCGTTCATTTTATTCTGATTTTTGACAATGATATACAAGTATTGTTAACGGATTTAATCCTTGTGTAGGCAACCGGGTACCTGGGTATCCACGTACCCATTTCTAAATTTCCTTTCACAATTTTTTATGTTCTTGTCTAAAACAGCACTTGGTATGTTATAGGAAGGGAAAGCTAAGAGTTTCGGAAAAGTATGAAAGTAAAGTTATCTATGTTTATCTAATCTGTCAGAATAGTATTCCGATTGCTAAATAACCGTGAATATTTTGGTTCTCCACACAAAGGTTAAAAGTGACGAAAAGAACGGCCATCTGTTTAGGTTTTTTTTTTCAATTATGGCAATCAGCTTAGCAGATAGGAGAATTTTTCGGTAGTTTACCGTTGGATCACGTCATCCTGAATATGTTAAAAATGTCTAAATTTACGCTATTTAAAATCAGATTTGTTTACAGAGTAAAAAGGCCAGAAATATCCCACAGGATATTTTGCACAAAAAATACGAGAACGAGTCGGGAAGTGGGTAGGACAGTAATAAATTGTCAGGTCGAAAACTGAGTACCGGTCTTGCACACACGAGCACGATCGTAATACGGATGATTTAAACGTTGTAATTCGCTCCCTATCTCCGCGCATCCGGTCTGTTACCGCGTTGCGCGTGCTCGCTGGCACGGCAGTGCGTGATATAACAGGCAATGCGCGTTAACGGATAATTTAAGTCTGTCTATCGTGTACTTAAATGATGGTTTACAATTCAGTTTTACAACTTCATAACACGCGTGGCGTGCACACGCGTTCGTACGAGGGATAAATCCTACGAGGGTGTCTCGTAGATCAATTTGAGCGTTTAAATTTCCTTGGTTTGCGCGCGTGTAATCGACTCGAGATTTCATCAGAGGTAAATCTCTTAACTGCCAAGTCTTTTTTATTCAAGATACCCACGTCCTCGATGTAGCATTCATTAAAACAGTATCGGAAAATTAAATATCGACAATATCGATATCATAATCGGGGTAAGCTCCACGGAATCCCCCATGAATCCCATCCCCTCGCCGAAGTGCGCCGGCATTTAAATCAGTGCCGTACAGGTTCACTATTCGGGAACTCCAGGTGCACGAGATCGACCGCCTAGTATCTCCATACCACTCCTGCTGCATAGCATCAGGCTATCTCGCTGTATACTATTTCGTGACTAGCATACGGCGCGCTAACCCACTCGTAGTCACTGTCAGCATATTCGTTACACCGACCGGGAAGTCGTATAGATTAGCCAGCCTCGTGTGCAACAACGTTCAACGGAGGAAGAAAAGGAGATGACGAATGTCCGGAAGAGAATGAGTCGACAGTGAAGTACATTGGGAAAATGATAGGACAATCTTTCGAAAGGGGACACCGCGGCGGTGTACACTCACTAACCAAAACAACAGCACGAGGGAGGGATGAGGTAACCGCACCGAGTCGGATAACGATCGAAACGATCGAGAGACGAAATGAAATAGGACCTGTCTAGGACGGAGTAAATAATAAGAAAGTAAAGCGGAGCAGAGAGCGTAATGCACTCTGTGTGTATCTGCGGACGACGAGCACGCGGGTAAATGAGCTGTGTACGAGTGCGCATGCGCTTTGTCCCCGGCGAACCCCCACCACGCGTGTCCGGCCGCGTGGCGTCCTGATCAATTGCGACGTTGCCGGGTCCTGGGCTGACCCGAAGAGATAGGGAGCGAGAGAGACGAAGCGACACGAAGCTCCCCGGCGCGATTCCTCCTCTCCCTCCCACTCCACCTCCACACGGACGTCTTGTCGTTACCGCTCACCCTGCTGACCTAGGGGAATACCCTTTCCCATCCCCACCGCCGTAGCACGTGGAGACGCGCCTCTTTCAATTTTTCATACCTTATCGACCTGTGGATTCAGCCGCGTCTATATGCGGCCCCGAGAGATGCGTCCAAGAGAATCTAAGGAAGGATCAGGGAGAAGGATGGTGGAGACGCGACGAAAACGGTGACGTGTTGCGCATCGACGACGCCGTCGCCACCGCCGTCGACCCAGACGGACGATAGATCTTGGAAACGCGGCCAATACCAATTTCGGATTTATTTTACGTGTTCGGTTTTCTTTTGGAACGAGAGTGAGTTATGGTTAAAGCGTTATTAATAATAAGGATGCGGTTCTGAAAAAACTGGTTCCGAATTCTACCTTTTGATTTTGGTGAAACTTGATGAAATTGTCTCGAATACTCCCAAATGAATATATGTAAAAGGCTTTTTTTACGTACATTCATTTGGGAGTATTTGAGACAATTTTATAAACCATTCTTCGAAAAGTTCATGCCGAGAAAGATTTTTGCATGGGTCTATCTAATATTGTCACGAAAGAATAAGTCGAAAATGTAGAATACAATTTTTTCATATGAGACTTCGTTTTCGAGAAAATCGACTTTGAAAAGTAATCTGAAACGCGTGCATTCGTGGTAGTAAGTAGAAACGGAATCCAATGAACAGACGCAGTAGCCAAGTCTTATACAATTGCGCGCATGTCCCACAGAATTTTATATCTAGAAAGCTAGATTTTGTGACATGTAGGGGAAAAACTAAAACAAACATTGTGTTCAGCAACCTGTAATTAACACAAAACATTAGGTTTAGTTTCATCATTTTGGGACTTGCTGAACAGTGTAATTAAATTGCTGCAATAGTTGCGACTCACTGTTGGAATGCATTCGAAAGGAATTTAATTATGTTAAGAGATATTTGATTTAAGATTTATAGTGTATGTGTACATCTTGGAAGTGATCCTGTTTCTCGAATATTATTTTGAAGGGCAGATCCTGAGGATGAATACTACTTTTAGTGTTTATAAACTGAAAAAAATGGCGGACAGAGATTACTTACTTTATTTCACTTGTAAAATTTAAAACTTTATTTGATGCCTGTATCAATATTAAGATGTTAAATGGAATAGGAATATTAAAGTCCCTTTTATACGGAATTTTATAAAAATTCATTTTCTGACAGAGTCGCAGGTTTATTGCCAGATTTTTTAATTGTGACATATAAAATAATGTTAGAAGTTCCTTTTAACGTTTTCATTTCCACTGTTGTCATATGGCTACGTAATCTAAATTACGAAGTAAAATATTAGTATCATGTATTTTTTCATATCTGCAAGTAAAATGATCATATTTTGCAGGTATTTACTAAGACAGTCATTATCTTCAAATATGTTATCAGCTGATTAACTGTGGATATAGAACCAGATGTCTTACGCTTTAATAAATTTTGACCATGAATATTTAAAAATACGTCACTGTGCAACACCGCTTACTACTTTCCTCGTTGTCACAGTTGGTGGTTTACAGGTGACATTGCATACTGAGAAAAAAAGGAAATAAAAAATTTGTCGCATTCAGATATAGGAACTTGTATATTTAAAAATATTTTTAAAATTGACTGTTAGATATTTTTATTCTTTGGTTCTGGACATTTAGTTAATTTTGATCTGTTATGTGTGTTTCAGGTGCCAAACTAAAAAGGGACCGCACAGAGCAGGATGACTTATTCTGCGAAGAAAAAATGCTCATTATTGACGGTAAGTGTGCTACAATAATATTTAAAAATATTCGTTAATATTTAAACGTAGTATCCAAAGGAAAAACAAAATTCCAGTAGGTCACATATTTTCGATTACAGATCACTTCTTTATAATTTCTTATATTTTTTTTAAACTTCTGTTTTTGGCCATCTAAGCTACTAAATTTTAATTCTGGACCACAAAATTATTTTACTAAACAAATACTTCGGAATTATTCTCCAAACAAATCCGCAAACTAACGAACGAAAAAAAATCGTTCCTTTCTTCCTCACGAAAAAACGAAGAATTTTCTTAGGTTCGATTACGCTTTGAAACGCGGGCGATTCACGAGAGCAGCAAGTTTCGAATTTCAAACGTGTGAAGGTAAACCTGTGAAAGAGAAGGGTGGGGGGCGATACTCACCAACGACGGAGTCCGTTCCCTCGGGCGAGAAGGACAGAGTGTCACGGGTGACTGGAGGCAGTTCTCGCGAGAACGGAGATGTCACGGAAGGTGGCGGCGGTGGCGGCGGGAGGGGATTGGTCGCCGCCGCTACCGCCGTCGCCACTGGCGGCGTGCTCGTGTCGTCGCGGAGGGGCGGGGTGGGGGGCCAAGGGAGGCAGGGGATCGTCATTCTCAGGTTGGAGGCGGTGGCACTTACGTTTAGATTTCAGTCGGCACCCGCGACTCACGCGGCACGAGCATCAGCCTTGCTTCGTCGATTGGAATTGTCCGCGTCCCACGATCGGTAATACGATCCCGAGGATTTTGTTTTATCGATACACATCGAACACGTCCGCTGTCGGGGACACAGTTGCCTCTTTTCGCTCAAAGTACCTACCGTAAACACGTAATTTCACAGAGAAGAATACGACGCGCAGTCCAATCGGTAGGATACACGCGTGAAAGGTCGCTGGTCGAGGTTGCACGTCGATGCAGACATATGTCGATACTCGAGACGCTGTTTTATCAGTAACGATTACACAAGACGTTAGTGAGATTATCCGTTGAATTAAAAGAGCGAAAAAAAAAAACAATTGCGTAGCAATCTACAGATCGTCCATACGGCAGGACAGTGGTCCTCTGGGACATTTCGATACGAGGTTTTAATGACTGTAGAAAGATTGTGAAGAATTGTCTACTGAATGAAGTGCAGTACACTCAGGTGCTCTTTTATATTATTCGAAGACCTTGATACAGAATGGACAAATGGGAATAATAATTAAAAATTTTCGTATACTCGAGGAATAACTCGATGTACAGTCTATGGGGGTGTCGCTGTCGAGGAACGTGATTGTAGATCGTCTAGATCGGACAAATGGATCCGCTAAGATCCCGTAGGTCACGGGTGTCGCGCGAGTGTTTCGAAAGTTCTTGATTTTTTTTTTCTTCTTCCCTGTCAGTATACACAGACGAGCGACCTCGTCGTCGTATTCATTCGTCGTAACCGCGCCTCCCCTTCCCCTTTCCGCGAAACTGTGACGGCAGCCCTCTCTCTTTTCCACGCGCTTCGCATTCCCGATCCGTTTCCCACTTCTTTTCGACTAGAGTAGTCTCGGTCGGGGCTTGTCGCGTCCTACACGGGGACAGTTTTATCGGTCGCGTCGCAAGGCTACGCGTGCACGGACATCGGGATCGGTCGAGACGAGACCTGTCGATTCACCTCGATTCCTTCGTGTCTCCTCGGACCCGAGTATATTAACGAAAAAAGATCCTCTGCGAAGGTAGCCGTGTGTGTCCGTGCCTTGTAACCGTGCGTACACTCGGGAACTTGTATCGAAGAAAGTTTCTCTGGTATCGACCTACCGGGAATCTATATCGTTGGCAATTACGTCGAGCTGCGCCTGTTACTTCTTCGTCTGGTGCAATCTTCTCGACGTGTCTAGTTCTTGTCCCCCCTCCCCCCTGATGTCGTCGAAAGAAAATTCGATCCCAGTTACTGTCACGATTCTTAGCTCACGGTTCTGATCACCCGTTGGGAGGATCGTAAAGTAGAACGTGGACGAAAGAAGATAATAAGTGGATCTGGACACTGTTCCGCGAACGTGTTGACAGAAGAGGCGGTGGAGCAAAGTAACGCGTCTTTTTCTTTCCAGTGTATCAGAGTCGTCGTGTGTGTGTGTGGTATGTGTACGTGCGTGCGTGTGTATCTCGAATGACCCTGCATAGGCCTCGTCTAGTGTGCTCTTTTTTCGTCTGGTTTATTGCGTACGCCAAAGCCACGCGCGTTGCAATAACGCCGAGAAGTTAGTGCGCTGGGAACATGGGAGTTCTATTGGTCGCGGATGGCACAGTGGTGATTCGACCCCGCATGAATTTGAACGCGGCCAAAGCCGCGGCGGCGGCGGCGGGAGCGCAGCGCGCGATCAACGACGTCGGTCACGAGACGAACAACAATGTGAACGGGCTCAGAGACGCGAATAGCCGGCGGCTGATGCCGACGACGCAGGTCGTCGGTATAATCGGCGTGGTCGTCAACGACGAACCGGTACGCAGCTGGATGCCGCCCCCGCCCAAGAAAAAATGGATACGGCACTATCTGCTCGGTGAGCCCCCAGATCTCCTATTCCTACTCCGGCGAACTGAAAAAGGGTCGTTCCACCGCGAGATCGGACACTTTTTCGAGCAACATTTCGAATTTTCTGGACACTTGTATATGTTGTAGTCTTTGGTGGTATACAAACGTTTCTAGAAGGATTTTTGAAAATTTTCAAAATTGTTGATTCTGTAGCTGTTTCGAATATAGTGTTAATAAGTCACAACTGTTGAACTAACAAACTGAGAAAAATCAGTTTTGTGGGTGCTTATAGTAGAGACATAAGAGTACTTAATAAAAATTGTTTCAGATAAAAAAAATATTTTTTAACCGTTTACTTTGCAATTGTTTTAAAGAAATGCAATTTTATAATAGCAGTCCTATTTGTTGTGTTTATGGTACAGTAGCACAAGTAATGTGAAAGAAGGAATTGAAAAAATGTTTAATCATTTGTTTATTTTATTAACTTAATTTACTCATTTTTATATATAATGTTTATTCACTGGCACGCGTTCATTCACTGGAGCATCTACTTTGTCATCGAATTCATTAATTCCTTAGAGATTCGTAGATTTTTGCGCGGTATCCATGGGACTAGAACTTCCTGTAGCATTGAACGTGGTTTAGGATACGATAAAAGAGGATGAAATTTTCTCTGGTCTTCAGACATTTCATAAATTAATCGAAGAAGGCGGGTTTACCCGCTATTTCTTATTTGTTTGAATAATAATTTTAATAAACTCCGTTTGTAATTCCACTTCGTTGACTTAGCATTCCTGAGTGATTCTACTGTTTTCGTAGATCTTCACTCAGGGGGATAAACGGGCGAGAGGCAACAAGGGAGACACGAACCAGCAGCTACTGAAACGATTGTAGAATCGTGCCCATTGCTTTCTATAATCCCATTGTTAGTCTCGAGCGATGCTGTTATAGGGAGTGTATGTTGAATCTTGTTAATTGTCAAACCGATTGCATTCGTCTTTCATTACGTCTGCGTAAATATTTGTGATCGAAAAATAGTTCAGTGTCCTCAGATTTCGATAGTCGTTCACAGAATACGAACTGTTCTCTTTTATTCTTAATCTTCAGTCGCCATTGCTATTTATTTGTCTTCCTTGACACTTTGACCACCGTTTTACCCACATATGTATAGGCTATGCACAATTCTGTGGCTCACAATTAACGCGTTGATTGCCACAGTGGAAAAGGCCGTACGTAGCCAGACACATTGTATTTTGTTTTTTAAATAATAAATCGTCGAAAATATATGGGTTTAGTTAATAGAGGCTGTTGGTCTGGGTTTAAATTATATTGCGATATTAATTTTACGCAAAAAATTTGTAACGTTGGTTAACTGATCCACTCTCTTTGTAATGCACATGTCACCCATGTTAGGGTGACGTGGTAGTCAAAGTGTTAAAAGACAATCTATGAGTGCCAAGAAGATTAACACTAAACCTAACGAACCCTTGAAAAGGGTAAGAAATAGAACGATAAAACTGGTCATTTAACCAGTTCTGGTAGTTTTAATGTCAAACTAATAATTACTGTAATGAATCTAAGTTTATAAAATACAGTTTCATTAAGAAAAATAGCCGTGACTTTGCAGAATTTTGGTGGCGTAACGGTCTGGCGGTTAATGTTTTAATGATGCAATTCTGTCGATTATATGTATATGTATTTAGTATTGAAAATTATATTAACGATATTGGACTCATCGTTTTACTTTCGAGTTGAGCAAGATAAGTATAAAATGTTCGCAGATAAAGGGGTAATCGGTTAAATGTTTTGATTCTTGTGTCACTGGACTTGCGTATAGAACCGCATCGAGTCGGCGCAGTTGCACATTTTGAACAAATTTAAGACGTTCTTTTTATATTTCAACGTGTTCCATCAGTGCTTTATATTTTCAGAATTACAATAAAAATCTGGTAGATAGTATAGTCATGTAATGATAAGAACGCATGGGAGACCCTGTGTATAATTTCTGTTTGAAACGATGGCAGAAAACAAAGTGGCAAAAGCTGTAAACTGTTTTCTGCAATAATAACAACGCAATATCTTCAGTATTTAAAATGATCGATCTCTTTTTGTACATAATACATATTATTTCGTATTTTAAATCGTTTCGAGAATCTGTTCGATTTTTATAAGACACCCTTTGCATAGAGAACTTGCAGCACGTTTTTCGTTCAAACGTTGTTTCTTTGTTTACTGTGCAGAGTTCTTATCAGCGTTCAGTTTCTGATTCCAGCTATCGCAAACTACGAGCAATATTTTTTTTTACACTTAACGGGATGTATCGAAATTACGGAAAGAGCTATTTGCACGATGCATATCGTTAGGCGATTGATTTATTAATGGTTATTGAGCAAATTACGTTTCACAGTACGACTACAGTACTGATAACGAATAAAAGCGGAAACCATTATGCGATTGCTGGAATCATGTTGAAGTTCACTTCACAGACGTGTGATTTTCC